AGGGCTGCGGCCACCCGCGGCTGAAGGTGAGCGGGACTGGCCCGCTGCACCTGTGCGGTCAGCCAGCTTGCCAATATTACAGAATACTGTTCCCCCCCCCCCCAATAGGGTTTTTGCAGAGATGCCTGTGTTCCTTCTCCCTTAGCAATACAGACCAGTATGATTACTTCTGCTGGTTAGCTCTGAATACGTAAGGTAATTTCAGGGTGTTAGCGCACATTGAGACTTGAGTGCAGTCAGGTGGGCTCACTGGTTGTGAGAGTTTTATGCTAAGAAGAGTCAGATGCCTCTGCTAAAGGGAAGGTCAAAGGGCTACTGCCTGCATTAAAAAATAACTGCAACAGCTGGGGTGGGGGATTTCCCTTGACTTACCTTTTTTACCTTACTCTGATCTGCATCCAGTGCCTCCTTATGGCCTCAGTGATGCTGCAGAAGGGCGAAGTCATAATAACTTCAATTTTTCAAATTGTGCCTTGAGAAATGCACAATTTGTCCCTTGATATTCCACGAGTTTGTGTGGTTTTGGTCCTGACAGAATGCCACGGGTAGGGAATCCCCCAGTGCTGTAGCTGCTGGTTGAAAGGGCTGCATTTGGCACACTTGAGTTTGAAGCATAATGTTGGTAGGATATAGCCACCTGGCCCATTTTCCTTTTGCATTTTTCCTGTTAAAGACAGGTGGTGTTCCCTGGGTGGAAAAAATGACTTTTAGATGCTAAAACTTGATAGATGCTTCTAGTCACCAGTGTTTTGTTTGCTATTGTGTTCCCAGCACTGCAATCACAGATGGAATTGAACTGGTGTTACGTTACAACAGAAAAAGATACGTGAAAACAAGATCCAAATGCACATGGCAGCATGGCAGAAAATGTCTTGTAATCTGTTCTGTACTTCAATATGTTGGAGACCTGGCCCAGATTTCGAAGCAAGTCTGTCCCTGAAAATTACTGAGGTTGAAAAGTGGTGGCCAACTGTTAGCTCAGTTAAACAAGTCATCTTGTATATCCCCATTCTCTGCCTCTAGCAGAGTCTGCTCCCCTATCAGAACCAGCTCTTTCTGAAAGACGGTTTTCTAACTTGCTAGAGATCTTCCAGTGACACACATTGCATAATCTCCACATTTTTTTCTTGAGAGCACTGACCAAGAATGCATGCAATACTGTAAGCAAGAATTCAGTGGTGATCGATACCTGCACATCTAATGTACTAGAAAACTCCGGGTTCTAATACACGTGAAGGTATTGCTATAAATTATTCCTTTCCTCGAAAGGGCAGTTGTAGCTGTATATTCCTACTGCCTTTCTCCCCTGGTAATGAAATTCATCCAAGCCTGTGACACGTCAGTTTAGGGAGTTAACCCAACGTGAAACTTTTCAGTTATTTTTGTTGGGTTATTTTTTGTGCCCGTTTAGGACTCTGAACTTGCCATTAGATCAGAACTCGCAGGAGCGTGTGGCTGGTCTCTGGAAGTAGAGCTGTCCCTTTTACCGTCAAGGAGCGTTTAGTTTGGCTTGGATGAAACTGCTTTGAGACTGAGGTTTCTGGAAAAAATGTCCTGAAGCGAAATCATTGTTAAAAAAAAGCAGCAACTCACCAGGCCAGGCTGTGTTGTCTGAGGGTTGCAAGGGGTCTATATGCAAGGCATTCAAGCTGCTAACAAAAATACACAGATTGGAACAGCCTCTAATATAGCAGATTTGAGATAAGCAAATGTTTTAAAAAGGCTTCTGGTGGTGACCTGTAGAACTGCATATGAGAAAGCTTCCAGGTTGAACTGGGTAAATTAGTTGTATTAAGAGCTAAAAACAGAACGAGAAATCACCTGAAAGAGATGTCTTTTACATAGTAGGCTGTAGCTTAAACTATTTTTAAAAAAAAATGATACGATGTTACTGTACAGATTTGACTCCCTGGGAAACAGCTATGTGCTGTAGCACTCGCCTCTAGAGTTTCACTTGGAAGGCCTGGGTAGGCAAAGATCACTTCTAAGGCTGAGTAAACAGGAGCAGAAGGAAACCAGGAGTAACAGAAGTTCAGATGAGGCAGAGTTAACAATCACCTTCCACTCTTCTTCACTCCTTCCTTTTGTCCAGTCTTCAGAAATCATTCCTACTCCTGACTAGTGAAACGATTCTGCATTTTTTTCCGATCACAAACATGTTTTGCAGAAAGGTCTGTGGATCTGCACTCTAGTACTATGCGGGATTCAGCTCAGTTCAGACTGCAAGGCAGAGTCAGTTGCAGTTCTGTGTTTCAAAAGTATGAGCAATAAAAATCTGTTTTAAATGTTAAGGTTGGGAATAGTGAAGCTTTTCCATTTTTGAATGTGTTTTGTGTGGAAAATCCCTCTGCTAAATAATTAGCAAGTGCTCTAAGCACCACTGCATATTTCACATATCATCTTTGTGGAAGAACTGGACAGTTCCTAAAGATTAACCACAGTTTATTTTGTGATCCTCTGACTGCTGGAAGAGAGAATTTGTAGTTGATTTTTCTTTTCATCTAATTACTCAAGGAACAAGGATGAACAGAAGAAAGGTTTAACCACAACTTCCCTTTTACTCTCAATCCCAATTCCAGCAGACGTTTGTGTTTACAAAGAAAAAATTTGCACAAGCTGAAAATAAAAAAACGAGAGAGTGAGTGATACAACAGTATAAAGGATCGCAGTGCTGTACTTCATCTTATTTCCTTGCCTTGCGTTCGGTATTACGGTTTGTTTATTTGTGAGAAAGGTTTCTTATTACACTTACCAGTGTAAAATTTTCTTAGAGCAGAGAAAAGAATCATTGCAGCAGTTGAATTCATTTTAGGTACCAACAGACACTTAATTGTTGTGTTAAAAACAAATAATTTGGGACAAAGAATTGTTCAGATTTAGTCCTTTCCTCACAGAAATGGAATTTTTAATAATTCTCTATGAAACGAGGGATAAAATCACCTTTTAATTCAAATGGATGATAAGATCTCTATTTTACTGAGGCTTTTTAAACAGTAGGTTATGTTAGAAGTGTGTCCGCGGCTTTCCTGTGGACACTTCTGTATGTCTCAGTGGTGTTACTGGTTTCTGACCAGGAAAGGGCTGCATCCGCAGGCCTCAGAAAGCAACAGAAAATGATAAGTTACATTTTTTTCCTAAAATATTATTTTGTCCTGTTTTTGGGAATTCTGTGATGGTTTTCTATTTTGAACTCTGCATGGCAGCACTGTTCTTGGAGGAATAAAATGCTTGTGTGTTGGTCCTGATGGCTGTTCTGGCAGTTGGTGGGAGGCTTCATTATACCGAAAAAACCAAAGACGTGGGCTCTTCAGCCTGCAGAAATTGGCCTAGATTAGACAGTACAATTTTCCGTTACCCAAACATGCCTGCAACACACAGAAGTTCTCGTAGAAGTGTAAGGTAGCTTCTGAGTTGTTTCCTGTGGTGTACTACAAGTATGGGCAGGGTGCCCAGGAGTCATCCGCTCAGAGGTGTAAACAGTCCCCTGCTGAATTTCACAGTCAGTGCTTAGCTGATCTAGTTTGTTTTCTAAGGTCTGCTATAGAGAAGTCCACTATCTATGCACAATAGCTTTGCATGCACTGCTGTTCAGTTGTATGATATTTTGTCCACATCAACTTCTTCCGCAATGTTGCCTGGGGAGGACTAGCAACAAGCATCTTGTGAAGCCTTTAGAGAAGACACTTCAAGCTAGCTAGCTGCAGACAAATATGTAGGATGCTGATGACCACCTGGGATTACAAAGAAATATAGTTGCAGCAGTACCCGATGATCTGGTGAAGAGGTAGATCAACAGTCAAGCCAGCTAGAATTACAGAGAAAAGATCAGGGACTTGAGTAAAGCTAGTTTTTCATTGTAGCATTCAAACGCGGAAATACATGTTTTCTTGCAGCACCACTGATGCTTGAAAAGGCTTTTCCATCTCTAAAACATTGCTGAGACTGATGAAAATGATGTGCAGACGTACTTTATTTCTGATGCTGCTCAGTTGCAGGTGCCTATGTCAAACTCTTGTGCACTGAAGTGCAGGAAGTGGAATAAAACGGATCAGTCTGTCTACAATGGATGCGGACTGGAAGGGTTGTTTAGCATCACTGAGATTCAGAGGGATTTTTAATTTTATTGATGAGTATTTCTAAAACTTAAGTGTAGCCTTTTTCTTGTGATAAAGCCCTGTGACTCTTATTTTTATACTTTACAGTTTTCACTGATGGTTAGTAGCTTTCATTTCCTGAAATGCAGAGGTGCAGACACCAAAGACGATCCTAAGAATGTATCCAGACTAGCATAAAGGAGGAGTGCCATGTCATATTTTGTAGGTAGAGTGTTCCTAAAGCAGTGTAAAATTTTATTCTATAATGAAATGTTTCTATGCAAATTGAATAAAATCTATTTCTTCGTTATTGGCCTGTTTTGGA